AAAAAGTCTTTTCATGCAATAAACAAATTGAGATAAGAACGATAGTCAACCAGAGGTTGAACCATCGATAATAATGTTGTTTTTGTCACATTATGGACAGTTTTTTGATACATTTTTGACAAGTGCAAAATCTATGACTGAACTTCAAACCTGTGCAGGGCAAAATTTCTGTGCTTAACTCTTACTTGACAAATAAATACAACTTATACGTGTCTATCTACTAATTAAGAAAAAAAGAAAACCAAACCAAATGATTGAGAAAAGAATCTCCGAAATCACAAACCTAAAATTCGCGATACAAAAAACAGCAAAAAAAAACATAATATTTTGTTGAATCTATCTGTTAAACGAATCCATGACCCCATTCTTGTTCTGCAAACGACCCGCTAGAAGATCAAGAGAGTAGTGATGTAGCATAGCGGATCCCCTTACATATATCTACTAGAATCAAGTCTCTTGTCATGTTAGGTTACAGAAACACCTAATTCATGCATTTTTCATTTATTCATGCCATATTTGTGTTATTCACGCCATAGTGGTGTTATTCATGTAAGAGTGTTGCTTATTCACGCAACCAAAATTGTTATAGTCACGCAACTTGGTGTTTATTCACGCACATTGTTATTTATTCACGCCATTGTAAAATTATATTTTAAACTTTGAAATATATCAAAATGGATGTCATTGTATTGATTATGATCAATGCAACACAATTTTGCTGATTAATTGAGAATTCAAATTTAATTCCATAAAATATAGGCAATACAAATTATTAGGGGAGAAAAGTCTGAATTTACATTTACGTGAATGACTCGGACTCTTACGTGAATAAACATGATATTATGTGAATAACACCAAATGGCGTGAATGAACACACAAAAAAAACGTGAATAAACTGATATTAGGTGCTCTGTCACCTAACGATGACAAGAGATCTTTTCTTATCTACTATGCAACATGTGGCCGTTGCCTATGTTGGCATTTCTTTGGTTTTTCCTTTCCATTTCTAGCTAGCAGAATTTCGCGTTAACATCAGCCGTCACTTAGAATACATAACGTAGAAATAGCAACAAGTGTGATTAAGTTAGTGAAGTTCAATGGGAATAACGGTCAAATTGGCCGTCTTTTAAGGTCATATAACCTTCTACTCTATGCACAGAATATTGCTGTTTCCAGGTCTGCGATTACCAAGCAAGCAAAACAAAAAATAACAAGACCCTAAAATGATAATTAAAGACAAAAGCAAAGGCAGGAGTTGAAAGCAAAGCAAAAGGGTTAATTATCCTTCTTTCCTCTTCTTGTTGATCTTTCTTGGTTGGTCTGTAGATATCTAATCATTAGCTTTACTAACAAATAATATATAAACCAAAAATAAAAGACACATAAAAAACAATAATATTTCCCACCTTTTGATCAAACAACGGAAAGGCACATAATAATAATTAAACAAATTTTTATAAAATTTTTATTTATATTCAGTTTAACGTTAGCATAGCATACAACAAGAACAAGGCGTCATTATGATGATTATTTGTATGCTTATAGCTTTATTTCAGCTGTCAATAAAAGGTCATGATTTCGTTCCGGCCATACATTGTTCCTACCACAAGCAATTTCCTCCTCTTTTTCTCGTTCATGCCTAGCCAGAAAAGGGATTATCAATAATGATTATTGTGTTACATATAGTATATAATTATTGGGGAGTTTTATGGTAAGAAAATACTACTTGGACTTTGAGTTTACCAAAGTTTGGGGTAGGTGGTAGGAATGGCAATGGGCAGGTCCGAGACGGGTTTCTTGGTACCCAGACCCGTCCCTTGGCAGGGCAGGTTCAGGTCGGGTAATTGATCACGGGTCGCGGGTCGGGGCAGGTCGACCTAATGGGTATGCAATTTATATGAAAAATATTAGAAATATTCGTTATTTTTATTATAAAACTAAGAAAATAAACAATATAATGACAATTGTAGTTAAATTATTGGAGAAATTGAGGTTTTCACTAATTTATAATTTTATTATAGCTAAAATATGATGCAATAAAAGGAAAATTCAAAGTAATTTGACTAAGATTTCATGTAATTTAGACACGAACGGGTCGAGAATGGGGCGGGTCAGGGCAGGTCAGGTCGATAAGACTACCCATGCATGCCCTGCCCGCCTACGGGGCGGGTCGGACCCGCCCCAAAACAGGCCGGGTAAAACGGGTCAGGTCGAAATTGCCATCCCTAGTAGGTGGCAATTTCAATCCAATCCACCAACCCATTAAAAATATACACCTAATCGAACTCATTTAAAACCAATCCATTTGATCCAAATTCAATTGGATTGGTGGATTCATGGATGGATCCATGGATCCAAATGACAAATTATGGTTGGTACCTATACTTTTTATATTTTACATTTTGGTACTCAAAATTTAATTTTTTATACGACAAATATCATTGGAAAATTATGTTTTGGTACCTAAAATTTTTCATTATGACATTTTAGTACCTAAACTTTTCACATTTTACATATTGGTCCTTGGTTGAGAATGTCATTTGGATTTATGGATAATCCACCAATCCACTTGATTCAATCCATGAATCCACCAATCCACTTGATTCAATCCATGAATCCACCAATCCATTTGATCCATGTATCCACCAATCCATGGATCAATCCATTTGCCACCTCTAGGTACAACTGTACAAGAGTATTTTTCTAATCCTAATGAGTAAAATTCAGGTCATAACTCTCAAAATTCTACACTCTAAGATCGATATAATTAGAAACAACAATCGACGGTTCTTATTTGTCGATAAACATCCAACGTATTAGATGCATCATCTAACGATTTATGATTTAGAGTTTAGATAATCAGAACCTATGGTTTGCTTATTGAGAATTAGGGTATAGTATCAGGCCGCGAAATTTTGGTTAATTCAAAGTTTTTAGCATTTTTTTTACCAAAAACTATGTGGTAGTCTAGATTTACTTGAGTATGACAAAAGTGGGCATCCGATATGGTTAATTACTACACTGTTCATGTCAAAGTCGCACAGTATATATCAATAATCACATAGAATCAAAACAGGGGAAGCCTTTTTTACAATCTTTTACCGGAACAGGGGGCAAAAGAAAGGCATCTTTTCAAAGAACTAGGGGCGATCTTTATCGTTTATCAGATACCTAATTATGATCATTTGTTTTCTTAATCAAGCTTTATGTTAATTGTTAATTAAGGATGTTAATAATCAGTGGATGTCCTCGACAATGCTAAATTCCCCGTTTATATAAAGGGAAGACAAGGACGCGCCATTTTTGTGAGACAGACGGTCCTCCTAATTAACTCAGCAAACCCCAAAACCCATCATTAGTTACTCTACCTATTTACCATGAAGCATCAAAGTTAAGTTTTCAATCAGCTAGTGGGTCGACGTTGAAAGGCATCCAACCCTAAAAGAATCACTCATATTATTGGTGACAAATGTTTAATTACGGATGTTACGTCATTCTCTTATACGTCCCCCTCAAATAAAAATTGTTTCGATCTAGATCCTGTAACCCGGTGATTAGGAGTTCTGGTTGGGCTCCTTCTTTCGTTCTCTTGGGGAGTGTGGGAACATGTGGAGAACAGGGTAGTTTTACGGCCGAACCGCCGATAAGGTATGGTTTCACAAACATTGAGCTGGGGTCGTCCTCCTTGAAGAGACACATTAGAGTGGGTTGGGGCCTTAGGTAATGTGCCATAGCAGTGGACTTATACACATTGATGACTAATTGTATTAGTCGTATTATGCATCTCAATACATATCACAAAAATACTCAACTCATGAGTTTGAAACTCGTGGAGGCTCCCTAGCTTTAATATGACTTTCATGAACCGTTTGATTTCAATTACTGGACCTGTTGGGAGATGTTTAATATATTCAATAAATATATGCATGGTATCATAGAGTGTATCACTTGTTGTCCCAAATTATATACAATGCATTTTTTATTTAACATTTGAAATCATTTATTTTAAATAATTTATAACTAGCTGAAATTGTTTTTTTAGGGAACTAGCTGAAATTGTTGAGATTGCGAACCTCTTTTTCATTTTATTCTTGTTTGTATAAACTTTTGTGTACTCCCATAAAGTGGGGTTAAATGTGGGGAAAAGTGGCTTTACCTTTTCATTTGCTAAATTATAATACAACAACCAAATATTGTAATATTAAAATTTCCTCATTTAAACAATTTATTCATTCATAATATCCATCAATTTTCACTACTAAAATTGTAAAATGTTTCCTCAAATTCACCATAATATGAAGATATTTCATGACTATACATAATAGCTCGACCAATCTTTTTCTACTTTTTAAAGTGATCAATCATGCAACAAAATATATTCATCGCACAAATACACTAAACAGACAAAAAAATTGGTTTAGAACTACTGAAACAAGTTGTCATTAATCAAGGTTAAATCGAATGATAAAACCACCCAAATTAGTTGAAGGAACTACGATCTCGAAGTGGAGGGCTAAGCTCTGCTAGCGAAGTAGCTCGACTCACTCGAGGTTGTCTCTGCATCACGAGTGAGGAGAGAGCAGATATAAGGCAATCAGGTTATTTGCTTCTTTTTTTAAAAAAATTGTGTACTTTTCAGCTTCTTTTTAGTTTATGATGCCATAACATAAACTAAATATTAAAAAAAAGGTTTTAGGATGAAGATGGTCATTAGTATAAATTTCGAACCAAAATAAAATATTAATCGACATATAAATACACCTAGACAGAAAATTAACTTATAAATATTAATTAATTAAAAATATAATATAAGGAAGAAAAAAACCACACCACCGGTCAGCAGTCACCACCATTAACGAAGATTTCTCAGAAGTGGGCTCCCCTTCTGCACGCCTATAAATATTGTACCCTTCTTTTCTCCTAATTCCTTTATTATCTCTCTAGTTCACACACACAAAAAGCACTACTCCGTTTTCTACGGTTCACCTCTGCCATTCTTCTCACTTCACCAACGGCTCACCGGCGCTAGCAAGCTTTCCCCCCCTCTCCGGCGGACTACCATTAAATCTCTTCCCCACCGACTCCACAATGGTCGACGTCGACCGACGAATGACGGGCCTCAACCCGGCCCACATCGCCGGGCTCCGCCGCCTCTCCGCCCGCGCCGCCGCTTCCTCCACCGCCAACTCCGGCGTCCCCCTCCCCGTCCGCAACGGCCTCCTCTCCTTCTCCTCCCTCGCCGACAAAGTCATCACCCACCTCCGGAGCTCCGGGATCCAGGTCCAGCCGGGTCTATCCGACCCGGAGTTCGCCCGCGCCGAGGCCGAGTTCGGCTTCTCTTTCCCTCCCGATCTCCGTGCCGTCCTCTCCGCCGGACTCCCCGTCGGCCCTGGATTCCCCGATTGGCGCTCCCACGGAGCTCGCCTCCACCTCCGGGCCTCGCTCGACCTCCCCATCGCCGCCATCTCGTTCCAGATCGCGAGGAACGAGCTTTGGTCCAGGTCGTGGGGGACCCGACCCGCCGACCCGGAGAAAGCGCTCCGGGTCGCGAGAAATGCGCTGAAGAGGGCGCCGCTTCTGATCCCGATTTTCAACCACTGCTACATCCCTTGCAACCCGTCGCTGGCTGGGAATCCGATCTTCTTCTTGGACGAGACTCGGATCTTCTGCTGCGGGCTGGATCTGTCCGATTTCTTCGACCGAGAATCCCTGTTTGCAGCCGGGTTTGAGTCCGAATCCGACCCGATTCTCCTCACCAAGCAGAGATCTGTCAGCGAGAAGTCAGCCGGGTCCTCCTCCTCGTCGTCGTCGTCCAATTTTTCCCGGCGGAGCCTGGACACGGGCCTCGCGAACAGAACGCCGAGATGGGTGGAGTTCTGGAGCGACGCGGCGGTGGACCGGCGGCGGAGGAACTCTGCATCTTCGTCCTCCTCGGACTCGTCTTCTTCGCCGGAGCGATTCTTCGAGATGCCGAGATCGGAGGCGGCGCCGCGGTGGGTGGACGAGTACGTCGGCCGAATCGGGTCGGTGTTGAGGGAAGGCGGGTGGAGCGAGTCCGACGTGGAGGAAATCGTCCAGGTGTCCGGCTCCGGATTCTTCGAAGGGGAGATGGTGCTGCTAGACAACCAGGCCGTGCTGGACGCGCTGCTGGTGAAAGCGGATCGGTTCTCAGATTCGCTCCGGAAAGCAGGGTGGAGCTCCGAGGAAGTCTCCGACGCGCTGGGGTTCGATCGCCGACCGGAAAAGGAGAGGAGGAAGATGCCGGAGAAGAAACTGTCGCCGGAGCTCGTGGAGAAGATCGGGAAACTGGCCGAGTCGGTTTCCCGGTCGTCGTGACCTTGAGCAGCCGGATCGAGGAGATTGGAGATTCTTTTTTTTATATTTTTTTTTATTTTGAAAAAAGTAATCGGGGATTGGAGGCTGGGTGGTTGATTTTTATTTACCCCACACATTTTGGGTAGTGAAATGGAGAGAGGGATAAGGGGGCAAGGTTATAAATACACGTGTAAAAACCTGAAAAGGGGATATGTACTGTTGGGAACGGTGCCGTTTAGAAGGAGCGGCAAAAATTAATATGAGGGTGGGAAACGAAATGATTATGTTCATAAATGTAACAATTAATCAATTACTTTCTGTTTGGGCTTTAAGTTTTAAGTTTTAACTAACTTGGGCCGTGCTTACAGCTAATGATTAGTGTACTAAAAGTAAGCAAACTTGGTGGACAGCTATATTTATATTTTATTTTGTTTGTAGTTGGATTGAATTTTGGTTTGTAACCGTATTTGTAAAATCATAACATAGAGATGGTCGGATTGAAAAAATTTGCTACTGTAATAAAATCGGAAAATAGTTTCCGTGAAATGGTTGAATCAAAATTAAACTATATTTTCAACAAAACATTACAAGAGTAAATTCTTTCGATCAACAACATCCGATACGGGTTTACCCTAATTGCTTTTGGGTTTACTATAAATTATATTGTGGGGGAGCTGAACTGGCTCAACTTTCAAAAAAGGCAGAGAGTGGGTGCACGTGTGGCTTCAAAGAAAGAGAAAGTAGACGTTGTTGTGTTGGGAGAGCGGGTCCCGGTTCTTGGTGGATGCGTTGATGTCGTCGGTTGAGGGGGGGTGGTCGGAGGTGGCAATGTCGCCGGCGGCGGGGACCGGTGACCTGGCGGTGGTAGTTGAGTTTCGTATTACTGGGGGAACCGGGTGGCAAATCTCGGAAGGTGTGGGGAATGGGATGTTGATTTTGAGGGGGGGTGTCGTTTAGCGGGCAGGAAAAGTGTCGTTTTGCTGTGGGTTGGGTTTTAGGATTTCGCTTTCATTTGTGTGTGTGTGGATGCATATAATTTTGTTTTTGGCGTTGTGGGTTGAGACTTGAGATCAGAATCAGATGGAAGCCTTATGGGAAAAGGAAAGTAGAAGGCAGAATCCTGTTGAGATTGATTTCACAATGTAGGTTAAAGTGGAACCATGCGCGCCAGTTTTGCAGTTTGGGGAACGAGAAAAGGGAAAGGAGTGGCCTGGAAACTGGGACTTGGGAAGGCGGAGATTCGGCCTATAGCTGCTACTTCTATTCTTTTGACAAGGTTTTTCAAAATGCCTATTTTATTTTGAAGCGAAATTAGTATTACTTTGGTAGAAGGTTGTGTTGGAAAAGTTAGAATTAGGGTGTTTTGTAACGATACTTTTTACTTATATTCACATTTTGAGGCTGATCAAAATCAGTTTTGCCGGATTTTAGCTATTGTGTAATGCTTTGAAGTTCAAAATATCTTATGTTAAGGTTGTTTACATAAAAAATTATTACTTTAAACGACCGTAAAACGTGCGACAACGTTCTAACAAGATGGACGTTACAACCCTAACTGAATTGCTGTAGTTTCATACTTGGGAAAAAAGATGCTTAACATAGTCGTAGGATGTACAGAAGAAGATTCTGCCTGCTATAATATAGCTATTCAAATATACCCAAAATTGAGATCTGACAAGCCACCCCACAATAAATAATAGCAAGGGCAATGGAGTCAAAATGGTGCATTGATAATTCAAAGGCCACTTTACCAGCAGAACAAGTAAAAGATAAAGACCACAAATACAAGGCTAAGGCAGATACTGCGGCCGGCAAACCAAAGGAAATTTGGGCATAGATATTTGCAATTACCGAATATCATATCAAATTAATCACTATTAAATAATTTTAAATATTTAAATTCTTTTTAGAGAAAATTGTGTGATATTCAATATTATGAAACTGAAATCGGTCTATACCGAATAATATACATAAATTTACAATTAATTAAATATCATTCACAAATTCTCGTCATTGCTCACACTTTTACAGCTTGCAAGCCTCATCCTATTCAAGCTTAACTTTCAAGTTTTCATTGAACAAACTCTCATCTCTCACTCAATCTCTTCTTATTTTCGTAACACCAAATTAAATGCATACATTTCAATTAATCGTTTCTCATCTTCCCTTCCATTGAATAAAAAATTACCAAAGGCAAGAACTTGAAATATCATCATCTCATCCCTTACCTTTGTCCATATTAACTTTAGACAAACTCAAGACTCTTTTGCAAAGTTAATAAGCCGAAGTGGACACCTGTAATGAATTCAATCCGTTCAATTGAAAACTTTAATTGATTCAGTTCAATGATGCCTTTAGATTAGTTTTTATCAAATGTTTCTCACCTCAATTTCTCATCACTAAGGTCATTACTCATGAAATTGAATCTTCAAGCCTACACCAAATAAAATAAAAATTCTGGATCAGAGGTGTTCAAACCATTATTTATATATATACTTAATTATTAATTTTAAAGGTAATTAATTTGGTATTTTCATATACCGTCCGCATCGAAATATTTTTAGATTGAAATACATAATTTATTTCAAAATTGAGATTGATTTCACGACACTATTCGATATTCAAATTACCCGATATTTGATATCGAAAATACCAATACCACACCGATTTCCGCACAACCTAACCTGACAGGCACTTATTTCTATTCCTCCGAGCTATCTCCCTGCACATACGAATTTAATGACCGCCCCATCCTCAACCGCCTCTACCCACTCCCCCAACTGAAAACTGTCTGCCGCCGCCGCCGCCTGACGAGACTGACCGACGACTGCATGCCCTTATCCGGCGCCATCGCCATCACCACCGTCATGAGTGTATATGCATTCACGTGCCACCACTTTTAAGTTGAAAGGCGCTGAAATTGGCCGGCCTCTCTGTTTCTTTGCGTGGGAGGGAGGGAAGGGAAGTATGGGCTTCTTCTTCTAACCAACTGCCTGTGTCTCCAGATCCATAGACAGAAACGACGGGTCCCTCAATTCGCATCTCCATAGCCACGAGCTCGAACAACGACCCAAATTGGGTTTTGGCCCCCCCACCAATATTTTGGGGACCGTTTCTCTATCAAATGTTTGGCAAATAGTATTGGATATGTAAGATCCATTAATACGTCATTGTTGAATTGATTTGAATCGAAGTATCAACCATTACGATTGGAAGTAACGAGGGGTCTCGTTGTTATTTGGGTTCGTATTCTGGGCCTGGTCTGTAACTGATTTTTCTTTACCGGATTGAATTAGGGTTAGACCTTGAAAAAGTACTATAAATACTTTTCATACTTCTTCTGTAATCCGTATCTCCTCAAAGTACAGTGAAACTGGCTCTCTCCTCCTGCCCGCGGACTAGCTAACACTCGGTGTGCTAGTGAGCCACGTAAATCATGTGTCGTGTGCGTGCTTTCGTTTTCTTGCATTGTCGAATCCTCCAATTTCCCGATCCGCAAAAAAAAAAAAAAAAACAAACAAACAAACAGTCGTGACAGTCACAAACTTAGGATTATGGTTTCGGTGAAAAGATCGATAGAGAACAACATGAATTCGTGGGTTTTCAACCAAATGGTAGCTCTAGCTCAATCGGTGTGGCAAGACCGGAGTGTAAAAGCCTAAAAGGTGCAAATTAAAGAAGTGGTTTAAATTCTTACGTAGACGTCTTTTAACAACTCAAGCTATTGAAATTCTTTGATTTATAACATAATATTATTAGTGTCTGTTTATTCAAGAGATCACAGCTCTCAATATTAACCCTTGTTCTAGATCACATAATACGGCAATCCATTGTTGGCCATTGCATGAAAAAAAAAATCTTGTAATTAAATTATTACGTTTTGTTTGTCGTTAGCTAGTGTGGTGCGATCGGGAGGGTCGCTGGTGGTCGGCCGGTGGGGCTAACGTTGTCGTCGGAAGAGCGGCCATAGATTTGCAAGGGGAAGCGTTCTCGTTTTGTTTTGTCAATAGAACGGGAACAAAGATGATGGCTCTTGGATTTACGTATGTTCGTGGGCTCTTAACGATGGGACATGGCGTTTTGGAGTTTATGATTTTTCGTAGTTAGATCTCTATGAAATTTTGGGAGCATGTTCTTTCCCTATCAACTTCATTTTCCACCGTCCTTCCGACGACGACCGGATGTTGACATGATATAAACTCTAGGGCCAAAGACTAATTTGTCGTAATTGTATTATACAAAAAAAAAAAGTTTACAATGTTTTGGATGGCTGTTTTGGTTTATGCAAAAAATGCATTCTTTCTTATGCTACAAATTGTATTTATGTTTTTGAAGTTATTGAACAAATTCCATTTGAATCTATATTTTCTTATGGACTTATGGTACAAATTGGACTTACATTATAATATAAGGGCGCCGTTTGGTTTTGCTGATTGTTTGGTTGGGATAGTTACAATGCATGTATTGTCTACAATGCATTATTGTTTTCATTAATTAATTTTATGCACAAACAATACATGCATTATTTGCTTGATGTGATGGAAATTATCACTCATAATGAGTGATAGTACTATCTCTACTAAAACGTGAGATTGTTGAGATAGTTTTGAGAAGATTGTTGGGTTCATTTTTTGTACCCCTAGTTATATATATATATATATATATATATATATATATATATATATATGTTCTCATAAAAGTAAGGGCAAAAGTGATCTTTCTCACAAAAAGTAATATAACATTTTGAATACTAAAAAAACTATCACCAAAACCAAACAATGTAAAGTAAATTACATAATTTTCCTTATTGCATGTATATTACAATGCATGCATTGACCACAATACATTGATTTAAGTATCACCAAAACCAAACGACCCTTAAATGTATAAATTTCTTTATGATATAAACATAACTTTTACCTTTAACGTACGTTATCATACAAGTTCAGAGTGTACCTAGAATCACTAATACTTTAGAGAATAGTAAAAAGACGGTAAAGATATATTTTGTATTGAAACTTCTCAAAACTGTTCTCCGTTGATTTACTAAATATTTTCTTGCTCTTTCCGCATGGGTTCGATTAGCGTAGTGCTAAGTGTTTTGATTTTTTTCGGCCCGGCGGCGTTCCGGCCGCAATTTTTTTTCGGCCCACCGTGTTTTTCGCCGGAAAACTGGAAAAATTGCCGGAAAACTGAAAAACTTGCCGGAAAAAGTAAACTTACTTGTTTTCCGACGATTGAGGACGACGGGAGGTTGGCCGGCGACGGAGGAACGGTGCCGGCGAAGGAGGCACTGGGCTCGTCGACAAAAGTGTTTTTGTTGGAATGAGTCAAATGTTATGGTATTCGAATTTATAGGAAGGGAAGGAAGGGAGAATTCAAAATTTGAATTCAACTTTTTTTTTTTTTTGGTTGGCGGCAAATAGCAATTTGGTTGACGGCAAATAGCCGTTCACAAAATTAAACTATATTTACATTTTCTAAGTTATCCTCCTTTACAAGTATATTGTAATGTGATAAACTAATTAAAGAACACAGAGGAATTATAAAGAAAAAAAGTTGTCCTCCTAAAAAGTGATATGGGATCCACATTTGAACTTAAAGAGAAGTTCGAAACTAATGATATATCGTGACAATATGTATCTTTGAAATTATATCATTTTTGTACACTCAATTGACTCTCTTTCCAGGATGTAACTTACTTATACAAGTTATTTCATTGATAACACGGAAGGGTAAAATGTATCACATTTCCTATTCCCGATTTTGTACAAAAAAATTTCTGATAAAATCCGTAAAACCGTGTTATTACCTTCTCATATAACCCAAAACTGTTCTTGGTTACAAGCCAAAAACACTAGTCTTTATTGTCAAACTTCTTACCATATGGTGGTGCTCTTCTACATTTATATATATATGGAACTCTGTCTTGTGTCTTCCTGGTAGCTCAACTAATAGTGGACTTTCCAATTTCCATTATTTCCCAAGCATCTCGATTGCATTATTTGAGGAAGGAAAGAGGGAAAATTGGACAGGTTGACTCGATTTTGTCAATGGTTACCATGTGTAGTTGTGTACCCCAAAACTTTGGTCTCCTCGAAAATGCTTAGGCCTTTTTTCGTCCCCATTTTTGTCACTTTTGTGTGGATTCTCTCTTCATCGAACCTAAAAAGACATACTGACGACAATGGTCCAAGCACTACTGTTTAACAGTTCAACATGAACAGTTACTTGATCCAAATTCTACATGAACATGGAGTAAGGATTTGCAGAATTCCATCTCATAGGAACAGTGTGCCTTAGATCTTTCTAAGGGAAATGAAAAAAGGGATGTTTGTGATCATGGGTATTATGACGATTCACTCGAAACCTTTCTCTTGCAGCTCCTGAATGACTTCATTCCTCATCCTGATCCACAGCTTCCCGGCCTCCTGATCGAACTTCTTGCTCTGCAGGTCCTTCTGGTAATTGTACGAATCCTTGTCCGTCGTCTCCACCACGCCCTTGGGGCCGATGGTGGTGCCGATCATCCCGCCCTTGGCGACGAACTCTTCCATGGCTTCGGTGTCGCCAGGGTAAGGAAACTCCCGCCGCTCGTACAGATGCGCCAGCTCCCTCTCTTCCTTGGGTCTCGGCTTCAGCGTCCACCAACCCAGCGGAGAGGTCTCGTTGTAGAGCCACGCCAGGCCGAAGATGGTGTAAGTGCAGGCCAGGGCCTTGCCTATCTGCTTCCAGAAGTGCCAGTCGTCCCTTCCGATCCCCACTCTGCTCAGGTACTTGTTGTAGTTCAGCGATTTCAGATACTCGATGCCTGCAGCGTTCATTTTGTACAAGCAAAAAAACACAGATACTCGGTCAGGCATTTCGTCGAACACTTGGAGGGCAGCTAAGCTGGTTTTGTTCGGAATGGAAGGAGAAATTGAGGGTTAAGCTGCAGAGCCGTATATGTTCTCTTTACCTGACTTGGCTTCTTGGTAACGCTTGCGCACCATTGGAGCGAGAAAGGGATCGGATCGGAGTGGCTTTCTGCCGCCGTCAGCTCAGTGGTGGTCTCACCTGTGATCGCCGATCGGGTCACCGACTCTCAACGCTCAACTCTTCCCTTCCACGAAAACTCTTTGAGCCAACTTAGCTCAAAATGGATCTGGGCCCGGATTTCTGAAATTTGACGAGTCACGCACTCTCATGCTCCCCAGGCCCAAGCCCAAGATTGGCAAGCAAGAGCAAATGAGAGATATTTCAGCTATTTGTTTGCGCACGAAAAAATAAAACAAATTCGAATCCGGGAAGAAAGGTAGTTGGAAATTGGAATCCTCGTCTGTTTGATAGCTCTCGGAACTTCCGGCGGATACCACCACCACCACGTCCCCACGCCGGCGTTGCAATTCCCCCGCTCCGACGCATCATCAATCATCTCTCCGATAAATCCAACTCAGCCTCTCTCCCCCGTTTCGGTAAGCTCTGATCCCTTTTCTCCTCGTGCCATTTGCCTTCTTACGTAGGTGCGATTGATGCTCGCATGGCCTGCAGAAGTGATTATGGTTGGTAGGGAGATCGGTAGTGAGCGTTTCTGTTTTCTTGCTCTCTAATTTCATCGCGTAATCTCGTCTCTGTGTGTAAGAATGGATGCTTCGATACTATCTCGCGGACTTTCCTGCTTCCTGTTTCATGCCGATTTTCCCGAATTAAAACTGGCCGGAAAAAAAAAAAAATAACGCTCCGGCTAGATCTGTATCCCGATCACTAGACCCGGTACGCAAAGGCAAACGTGCGATGATAGTATTTCTTGTGGCTGAAGTCTTCTGGAAGACTTTCCCCTTCCAATTTCTTTTTGCCTACAATTAATGTTCCCCCCTTTATTGCCCCTTCTTTACCTAATTCATTGTTTTAATAGTATCAGCTTGAATTCACTGTTTTCGTGATTATGGTGTAAAATAATGGATCTTGGTGTCTTGAACCGCAATGTTTTACCCAGAATTGTACGATCTTGTATGTATTTTTGGATGGGAGCTCAAGGTCTGCTAGAAGTTTCTGAGTTCTTGTAGCACAGTGACCGCTTTGTTTAGTGTGCTTGGCTCTGTGTGTTTTGGCAGCAGGGCTTATTTGTGTATATGGAAATGGTGATGGTAGTAGAGTTTTCCCCCTGATTCAATGTTTACATGATTGTTCTCTTGTTATTATCTCAAAAAGGGAATGGAAAAGACGATCAGAATGCACAAGCCTTCAGCGTCTTTCGAGTACGAGCTTTTTGATGGAGATCCCGACCACCTGAGAACTGTTGTCGCTACACCTACCCAGATTGTGCCATGGATCAATCCATCCGAGTTGAAGTTCAAGCACAGGATTGGGCGAGGAACATTTGGTGATGTGTGGTTGGCAACGCACCATCAGTCTTCCGATGATTTTGACGAGCACCATGAAGTTGCTGTCAAGGTGCTGCACCCTCTAAAGGAAGACCTAGGGCAGAAGTTTGTGGAGAATGTGGAAGGCCTGTTCTTGAGAATGAGAGAACTCCAGGGGGTTTGTTGGTTGCATGGTATCTCAAAGATAAATGGCCAGGTGGGTTTCTCGCCCCAAGTCCATCACTTTTATTTTTTAGTTTACACGAGCATAGAAACAATCCATCAACTTCTGGACATTGGCAACAATCCATCACTGAAAATGCATAATCTAAATAACTTAATGTTATTGTTGCAGATGTAACTTAATCTGATTGGGTTCTGACTTCTGATGTTGTTGCAGATTTGCATTGCAATGAAAATCTATGAGGAATCGATTGCTGACCAGATTGCTAGATCAAAAGGAGGCAAGCTCAAACTACCAGATGTCGTGAGGTCACATATAAAAACTTCTGTAGCTTCACCAGGACCTTCAGTGTTCTTCTAGCGGATGTAACAATATGTCTTGTTGCCAAACTTTGCATGTTTTGCAGATATGGTATCGACTTGGCAAGAGGAATCCTACAGTTACACTCGCTTGGTTTGCTGCTACTGAATGTCAAACCTTCTAACTGCCTTCTCGATGAGCATGACCATTTGATCATTGGGGATTTTGGAATCCCTTACCTTCTTCTAGGCATACCATTGTTGAATTCAGATGTAGCCTTGAGGCTTGGATCTCCAAGTTACATGGCCCCAGAACAATGGGAACCAGAAGCAAGAGGTCCCTTGTGTCTCGAGACTGATTCTTGGGGTTTCGGATGTAGCATTTTGGAGATGTTGACTGGAATTCCACCTTGGTCCGGAAAATCATTGCAAGAGATTTATAAATCTGTTGTTCTTAAGCAAGAGAGGCCATCAATACCAAATGGGTTGCCTCCTGCTGTGGAAAATGTTATATCCGGCTGTTTTGAGTATGATCCCCGGAACAGACCTTTAATGGATGACATCCTGGCTGCATTTGAGAGGTACTTCTATGTCTCAATTATTGCTTGATTACTTGCTTTCTTTGTTAAGTTTTTTACCCAAATTATTAATGACAAAGATGACATGGATCGTCTAATTAGTTGTCAACTACAAGGAAGAAGAGATTAGAGTGGTTCTTGGCGATGTGGCTTGGAATTCGGTCAACTATTGTGTTTGTTAACTTGGGTATGAGTTGCTGCGTAATTACTTCTTTTCGTTGAGTTAAGGTTGCACTGTATCTGCAGCTCGCAGGTTTCTGTTCACGCCGATGAAGGATGGATTAGTCCACAGCGAAGTAGTAGATCATTCCAAGAAAAGTCGCCTGTTGTTGGCTATACAACTTGGTATCTCTCAAAAGATTATCTCCAAGTAGACGACATTGTCCGTTCAAGAAAACCCCTGAATGCACAAAAGCCGCAGACCACACCTTTGCAGAAGGGAACAGTTGTCGGAACAGCCTCCGATAGATCCGGACTCATTCTGGTGAAGATTTCCGGAGTTCACAACCCTGTGAAGATACAGGAGTCCACCCTCGAGAGGGTTACATATGGTCTTTCAGCTGGCGACTGGGTTCGCCTGAAGGCCGACAACAAGTGCAACCACTCTCGTGTCGGCATTCTTCATTCCGTCAAACGCAATGGACGTGCAGCAGTTGGATTCGCAGGCCGTGAAATCCTCTGGATGGGAGACGCTTCTAAGCTTGAAGTGGCTCACCCTTACTATCTGGGCCAGTTCGTACGACTGAAAGCCGACGTATCTTCTCCTCGGTTCAGTTGGCCTCGCAAGGGAAGAACTGGTTGGGCCACTGGCCGAATTTCACGGGTGCTTCCTAACGGATGTCTCATGGTAAGCTTCCCAGGACGGTTTGTGTTCAGAGATAACAATTCAGAATTCTACTTGGCAGATCCAGAACAGGTGGAGCTCGTCACCTTCGGAACATGTCCTGGGATTGTCGAGAAATACCAGCATGTCGAGGATTTCCATTGGGCGGTCAGACCGTTAGCTGTTGCACTGGGCGCGTTCACTGCATTGAAGCTTGGGATGTCTGTCGGGCGAGCTGTGAGCTGCAAACTGGGGAAGGGATCCAAGTCGGATGAGAACAAGATTGGTGGAAACACGGCTTGGCTCCCGCAACCTGTTGCCAACATAATAAAAGAGATGCACTCTTGACCAAACAGGTTCGCCTCCTGTTTCCTGAATGCAAGCAAATGGCAAAACCGTAAACAAAGCTTCTAAGTGTACATGGTATCGCTGTCTGTGTAATTCCCTCTTCTCCTGTGTAGGTTTTTTGTAATTCAAGAACGTTTCAGATTCTTTCCTTTCTGGTGTTCCAGTTTACTGTTTCTTTTTGCAGTCTTGTTCCAAGTTATAAAATGATGCAGATATCTGTCTGTAGCCGACGAAGCACGAAAACCTTTTATTTTCCTTCTTCGTTCAATATATTACATCATTAAGCTGATACTGAAAGTCTGCAACTATGTATATTCACCCATTTCTTTCTGAATCCTATAGCTATGCAGCAGGCATTACTTGCTGCTCAAGTTTGCTGACAAAAGCTGTACAAATTCCTCATCAACTACAACCAAAACCTTTCATACTGCCTGGAAGACTTCTTTCTCGTCCTTCTCTGCCGCCTTTGGAGAAGACCTCAGCACCTTGACCCGAAACATGGTCTGTACCAGAGAAAAACTCTGAATCTTGACCAAGATCCAATCCCATAATCAATCACAGAGAGAGAGAGAGAGAGAGAGAGAGAGAGCATACCTTCTTATCAGAACCCAACTCGATGGAATCCGAGGGATGGAACCGGGTTGGAAAGTTTGGAGGTATCCTGTGCCGTCTTCCTTCGTTACTGCATTATCATAGACTCGGGACTTAATGAAGAATTACGGTATATACAGTAGAGTATGAGCCAAGACTTCCAGAAACTTACTCAGTGACGAAGGTTCCATGTTTGCTCCTGAGATCTGACAAGTAGAAGTAGCCATTTTTGTAGCTAATCTGTGCATGCTGTGTGGAGACCTAAAGATCGGGAAAGGGGAAGGGGTTGCAGTTAGCATTGTACCTTCCATTTCTGCCACAATCGGACAGAGTGTGGTTAATAGCATTCAACTGATTACCTGAGGAGATTGTATGACTACAGATACTCCAGGGGAATCTTCCTGCGACGCACTCCCGAAAATGAGGGGTTGTTCCTGGTCCCGAGGCATGTGAATAGGTTCTGAAGAGGCTGCCTCATGTCCAGATGGGAGAAGAAACCACCTTCAAAACATGGATAAAAATGGAAGTAAGAAAAAGATTAGCATGAATTGCACATGCAGTTCAGAGAACATGTTGAAGACGAGGAAGAGCAAAGGGGTCGTACTCTCCATCAAGAGCACGCTCTAGTGCGTCATCATCGTCGAACCATCTGCTCAACTGATCACTAGCCTGTGATCAACAATCCCATTTGAGAAGTTTTCATAATCCATTAAATTCGACATGACAAACAACGAATCACAGAACGGAGAAAAAAACAATCGAGAGAGCGAGACATACTCTGTCCGACAGTCTGCACGATGCTGACCTCCCTTCCAGCTTTGAACTGCAGAATGAAAAAAGTACAGTCACACATATATCCTTACGTTCGATTAGGGGAACTATATGAAACAGAAAACAGGGAAGGAATTCAGGAGCCTACCTATTACCACCTAGGATCCAACTCAGCATCGAAGGCATTGCCAAGCTTACGAAGAATCTCCCGCCAACTCTTCCAGGATGTGGTATCCGGAACTTTGTCAGGAACTGCAAAATCAATTCAGAAACACAAACGTTATGGATCAGTATAAAAACTCCCAGCTGTTGTTTGTTGGATTCTTCTCTCTTTATTGAACACAAAAACGACATACCGACAATGGTCCAAGCCCTACACCCAAGTAAGGTCTGTAGGTAGTAGCCATTATTGCAGCCATTCTAGCCATTCCATGGATGATTGCTACTCGTAATCTCCTAGCCTTCTCGTAGCTGCGAAGATAACAATATCACTGATGAGGAATCTAAGTAGCCGAGCCATTAGAATTAAGCGTGAATATGATCTTGATTCACCTCTTCAAAGAAGAAAATACATCCACTGGCTTTCCTGATTCGATGCTTTCGTCGTACGCATTGACAAGATCCACTGCCAGTTGATAACCATCCTGTCATTCCAGACAACGGATTTAGCTCACGATATCATTTTACATGGATTAAGTTCAATCTACATAGATCTCGCTATCTCAAATTCGAAAAGATAACCCAGGTTTCACCTCAATAGCCATGCACCCTCCTTGACCCAAGTTAGGCTGCATAACATGAATTGAATCCCCGAGCAATGTCACCCGGCCCTTCCCCCAGTTAAGAGTTGGAGTCCTGTCAAATATGTCGCGTCTGAGAATGGCTTCTTCATCCGTGGCATGGAGCACATCGATCACATTGTCACACCATCCTTCAAACAACTGCAGCAACCTCTCCTTTTTACCTGTGATGATTCGAGTTCACGATTTCGATCTGTATCCGATTACGCAGAACAAAAATACACTGCAGCCAGAAGCATCAAGAAGAGAAGGGGGAGTTAATTAGTTTTATACCACCAGGCTTGTCTGTTCCCCCAGCTGACTCATTGTAGAACGCATACCACTGCATCTTTCCAGCTCCCACGTCCGAAGAGACGAAGTATTGCTTGTGACCCAAGAACACTCGATACCCAACAGACTCGATGTCGACCGGAACGAAATCTGCTATGCCTGTGTAGCAAGTGTAGCCCGAGTACGTCACGTCCTTGGGTCCGAATAACTTAGTTCGCACCTAAACACGACGAGAAGACAATACGATCAAGCACAAACTTTTATATATATCACTATCAAACATCAAGATTTGAGTAATCTATAGGTGTTTTGAACCTTTGACCGTATTCCATCAGCACCAACCAACAGATCGCCTTCGTACTGCTGTCCATTGTCCAGTGTCACAGTGACCTGAAGTCACAAAGTTGTTTTTTCCAATTAGTGAAAACACAAACTTGCAAAAGGTTCTCCAAATCAATGAAACAAACACCATAACGACATATGATGTTCATTACTTTATCTCCATCGTCCTCGAAATCGACGACATTACTACCATTCTGGATAATCTCTTCACCCACTGCAGAAGCAAGGATTCTCTGCAGAGTCATTCGGCTTATAACTCGAGTGACCGGAAGTCCACGCTCTACAGCAGGAGTGAATGTATCAAACTTCACGTACCTGATATAAACCAACTACTTGTCTTCAATTTCACTGACCTCAAAACAACCCCACACAACAACAACATCAATCACAGTAACTAAATTAACTGAAAAGAAGCAAACCCAACAGCAAAAATTGGCAAATTAAATCAAAAGTACCAAACTTTTTTGGTCATACCCTTTTCCTTAACAACTTCAGCCTTTTCATATCAGCCACAAAGATGCAAACTTGGAAGGCAAAACAGGACCACAGAGATATTGTAAGAAAACCCAGAATCAGAGGAAACTAACCAGGTGCCAGAAATCCCATCAACAAGCCCATTAATTCTATCCCCAGTAACACAACCAGCTCTCATAACCTCATCCGCGACATCCAAATCGATCGCCTCGAGCGCCGCCAGAGCATTGCTCTGTATCTGAATCGGCCCTCTGTACTGCCCTTCTCCTCTGATAGCACTCAAATCTCTCTCGAACACAATTACTTCAAACCCTTTCTTCTTCGCCGCCAGAGCAAACAGCAGCCCACCAATCCCACCGCCGGCGACCAGAACCCTGAGCTTCTTTTCTTTCTGCTCACTCGGTTGGCTCGCCGGCGGGGCCTCTGCCGCCGCTACAGCTTTGACAACCGGTTGACTACCCGATTTATGCCTTCTCCTGCCACTTCTTTTCCTGCTTTGAAAGTGGTGTTCACAGCAGGAGAACTCGAGAGGGAGAACTGGGAAATGGGTTCGCGAGGAACCCGCCATGGATGATGGAGTAATCGAGCTGCAGGACAAGGTTAGAGAAGCCATGTTTTTTTGTGTGTGAAGTTGGAATTGAGGAAAGGTGCAGAGACCTTATTCTCAAGTGGGTAGTTTAGAGGAAGAGAACTGGACGGAAGTGAAGGAAGTGTGGAGGAAATGGGGAAGGAAGACAAGGTGGCGTTTTTTATGGAGTGGAGGAGAGGGGAAATGGGAAAGGAAAAGATTTTTTTGGAAGAGAAATAGATTAGGGGGAAATCAAATGGGAGAAGAGGGGTCAATCCTAGTGGGCGAAGGAAATGAATTCTGGTACACAAATCTGCGCAGATCAGAAGCCATGTGGCACTCTCACACCGCAGAAATATCCATGAAAATGACACCTAGATTATTGTCTATGTGATATGTTCGATTTTTTCAGTTAATTTTGTACAATTTTCGATTTGGTGAGGCGATTCAAATTTATATTTGTTGTACTTGTCCGTTGTGAACTTGTGGTGCTCCTGCTTTCCTCGTTTCTCCAGATCCTAACTTGTTTTCTCTGAATCGGTTCGGTTCGGTTATAACCATAGTTGTTTATCCGGTTATTAGTTAATCATTAATAATTTATTTTTATTGTTAACAACATCATTTATATTATTCGATTGATTTGTCTACCAAATAACATGTGATTCAGAGCGGTTAATACGAAATAATTAATCAATTATCTATTGTGTGTGTTTTTTTTAATCCCACTGAATTGGAACCCTTCGCTCTACCACCACCACTGCCTATGAAGAAGATGAACTCGGATTTCACCCCGAAGTTTTTCGGGACGGATATCAAATTCGTCTAGGGTTTCTGACTCATGCTCAACCTAATGGAGGACAATGAAGACGATGTCAAATTACATAGTCAAAGAGTTGTTGTATACAAAGAAGGACGAGAAGAAGCAGTGACAAAGCATGTGATAGATCCACACTTACTTAAGGAGGCAGTGAGTGGAGGAGAATGAATTGGCCTATTGTTATAATCGAGATAGGGAATGTGGCCTACGAGGTTGATGATGAACATTCTGGTGGGGGGGGGGGGGGGTTCGATGTGGAGGTGTGTTAGGATTTGGTTGGTGGCGTGGTCTTTGGAGAACCGTATGATTAGTGAGTTGGGATGGAATTGTTAGTCCTATTGACACTAGAGAAGAAAGCGAATAGAGGAATGAGAGGAGTGATGAGTGTGAATTAGGTGGCACACTCTTTACATCTTTCCACATGCACAAGTCATATGTAACGCCTTAGGTGAATCCCACATAGACAAAAACACAAGAGAGATCTATGATTCATTAGTAAGAAATCGACCTTCACTAACAAGAAGCATTTTCGAGGTGATGTCATGGGAAGTCGCCTAGATATGCACCCCAAGACAAAATCCTTGAGGGTCTGGACCTAAAACATACAATATCTTATCGAAAAAGGATTCGGGATGTTACATCATATGATCTTCTCAATCCAACATTGATGTGTACACTTCCATTGCAAAGTCGACGTGTTATTTGCCTCTTGCAATTTTAGGGCTCACAATGGGGGAAAGACAGAGGGTTGGGTAGAGCCGTAGAGGATTGTTTGTTTGAAATTCAAGAGTTTGTTTTGGAGAGACTTGGTCGTTTTGGGCAGAGAAACATAGGTACTTATACTCGTTGAGTTGTCAGTTAACCTCTATCGACTATTTGGTTATCGGCTATAGCACAATCTAAATTAGCCTACTAGTAACCACCACTAACTTATAATCTGTTATATGTTCGTTTAATGGTGCAACCACTAACCGGATAACTAGATATCACCCCTACTTGGAATTATTTGACATTTTGAACTAATCAATTACCAATGAATTGATACTTATGCAGTTCGCACCATTTTATCATTGTCATAACAACCTCATGCTAAATAGTAGGACTTCATGATACCATCTCACTACTATCATATAACTGTATATGATAACATTATAGTAATATCATGATTTGATAA